CTTAAAAAGCTGGAATTAGAAATACCATTTGACCCAGCAATCCCATTACTAGGTATGTATCTTAAAGAAGTGAAAGCCAGAGCAAGAACAGATACACGCACACCCATGTTCATCGCAGCACTATTTACAATAGCCAAAAGAGGAAACAACCTAGGTGCCCATCAACAGAAAAATGGATAACCAAACTGGTACATACACACAATGGAAACTATACAACACTAAAGAATAATGTAGAATCTGCAGACCACCATATAACATGGATGAACTTGGAGGACATTATTCTGAGTGAAATAAGTCAGTCACAGAAGGACAAATGTATTATTAGTTCATTATTGTAAGAAGTCAAGGAAAGGTTTATATGTGGAAGGAAACTGTTGGTTACCATGGATGGGGGAGGAGAGAGAACACTGAAAAAAAAAAAAAAAAAAAAGCACTGACCCTTGTCGCTTTAGTTTTGTATATTTTACTGCACATGTATTATACTTCAATAAAATGTATTTTAAAAAGCAACAATGCTGTTAAAACTATTCACAAAAAAAAGAAAAAAACTCAAAAAAATATTATAAATAAGTTTAAAAAAAACTATTGCAGCTTTGCTAACTTTGAATGAATATAAAAATTCATTATGTTCAGCAGACATGCTTTTACCATTAACAGGGCATTTGCTTGGTCCTATTTAACTTAATAAATAAATTTTCTTGTATTTCAATTCCAGTTACATAAATTTTCAAGAATTGAAAGCAAGCAGGAAAGCTCTGAGTGACTGTGGACAGCAGCACTGCCACCACACCTAAGGAGCTCTGGAAAGCAAGAGGCCTTCCATTGATTCCCTGGGGAAATCTGAACACTTGAAGTTTCCAATTATTTTAGAATCCAGCTGCTCTGGCTTCTATGGGCACCAGAGTTCTAGGGAACCCCAGGTCCGATTTGCCAGTTTTAGAAGATAGGTGCCATGTATCTTTCATCTTTGAACCCCCCTACAGAGCTTTTCTATTAGCATGCAATAGACAAATGTGAGCTGTTCAATTTTAGCTTTTCTAAAGCCTTGCAAAATATTCAATCAGGTAAAACAGGGTGATTTCAGAGTTCACTAAAACAGATTAAGTGGTTTTTTCCCCCACCTTAGCAAAAATCACTCCTCAGAAGGAAGACTGGGCAATCTACTTCCATAGTGATACTGCCTCAGAAACCCAAGGAGGGGTCACTATGAGTCAGGGCCGACTCAATGGCACATAACAACAACAACAGCAGCAAAAATCATGTAGGAAATTGAACACCTGAACAAAGTGAATGTCAGAGTTTAGAGCTGTCAGTTGGCTGATAGACTAACAACACTTAAAGATGCTGGATTTTTTGCCAGGCAACAAATGGCACATACTACCATCCAGTAGTTTGTCAGCAACAATGGCTTGTACAAGGAAGAAGCCAGTGAGGGACCTAAATGGAATGAAGCCCTCTCAGCATGGCTAACCCCAAACTGACCCAACTATGGCATCTTCAAGGAGTCAAGTCAGTTTCAAAGGGGTCCTAACCAGATGCCCTCAGCCCTTACTAACTAACTAAGCCCTAAACTTTTAGGGTTACCTCAATCTCCCAAAGTGGTCTGGGCCTGGACAGTCAGTTCAGAGACCATATTCCTAGGTCAAATTACTGTTTTGGAAATCTAGTACCGCTCTGACAGGAAGATACCACAACTGAGTGATCTTAAACAAAACAAGGATTTATTCTCTTGCATTTTGGGAAGCTAGAAGTCCAAGTTCAAAGTGCCAGGCTAGGTGAAAGCCCCTAGATCTTGAGCTTCAGGTCTGCCTCTTGCTCCTGGCCTACTGCAGCTAGAGGTGTCTCTTCACTCAGCCAGCTGCTGGCTGCTGAGGCTAACAAGCCCAAGGTCAACAAATAAAATGGCACAGTCCCAGTATTACCAAACAACATGGCATGCCATTAATTCAAGTCCAGAGACAGTCCCAAGATCAGCAGGAAACATGGCAGGCTGCTAAATGAACACCCGGCCACATAAAGGGTCCAAGCATGCCAAAGAGCTGCAAATCTTTCTCAACGCTTCTCCTTATATAATGGATGGCAGACCACATGCTTAAGACACCTGCTCCAGTAGATTCCACCATGAGGGTGATTACCAATCTCACCAGGGGGAATAACTACATTCAGCTGCCTAGTCAGTCAAAACCAGGCCCAGCCAGGTTGACACATAACCTTAACCACCTCAGTTACCTTAATAAGCAAAGATAAGAAGGATAAATGGACTCTGAGGCAATCATATGACCTAGAGAGTTAGGGTAACTTCCAGGAAGATGGATGGTTATGTCATCAAGGAACTCCCAGAAGCAATGATAACAGGTGTGTATATAGGCATGTTTATCGACGGCCAGTCTCACAGTACAAGTGGACCATTCCAGCATCATCCAAAACTTCTTCCAATATCATTTACACTCTGCAAAAGATTTTTTTCTAAATTTATAGGAGGAAAAATTCAAGTATGCAAGCACATCCATCCATGAATGATTCCTAGAGCATCTGTAACATTAAGAGCACCAAACTAAAATGACCTAAAATCCTTTACATGTGGTAAACACTCAAGTACTTGCTGCTTAGTACTACTCAGCACCCAAAAGGTAAATGGTACAGGCATTTTTTGGAGCCCTGGTGGAGCAATAGTTAAGCCTTCTGCTGCTAAATGAAGGGAAGGCAATTTGAATCCACCAGCTACTCCTCGGGATAAAAGACCTGGACATGTGCTTCCAATAAAGGTTTTAGCCTAGGAAACCCTATTAGCTTTACTGTCAAGTGGGGTTGCTATGTGCTGGAATCCACAAAACGGCACACAACAACATCAACATTTTTTTCCCATAAATTGTAAGTTTCGCAATTCTCTTTTCCTTTAGAAATTTAAAACATGATTGAGATGCTCTCTAATTCACAGCACTTGTAAGCTAAAGGTGACAGATCCTTTATATAAGTGATACCTAAAATAAATGAAAAATTTTTAAATGAATTATGCACTAAGTAATAACAGACGTATACAGTGCTCAAAAGAATCCCTGGTGGCACAGTGCTTTAAGTACTTGGTTGCTAACCAAAAGATGGGCAATTCGATTCTACTAGCCACTCACGGGAGAAAGATGTGGTGGTCCACTTCTGTAAAGATGTACTGCCTTGGAAACCCACGGGGCAGTTCTACTCTGTCCTATAGGGTCTCTATGAGTGGGAATTGACTTGACGGCTGTTCTGGTTACCTAGTGCTGCTCTGACAAGAAATATACCACAAATGGGATGGCCTTAACAAACAGGAGTTTATTCTTATAATTTGGAAGCTTTAAGTCCAAGTTCAAAGTGCCAGGCTCTAGGGGCTGGGTGAAAGCCACTCAAAGTTGGGGTCCAGCTCTGCCTCCTGCTCCCAACCCACTGGAGCTCGAGGTATTTCTTCACTCAGACAGCCACTGGCTGCTGAGTCTGAGAAGCCCGAAGGTTGACAAGTCAAAAGGCACAGTCTCCTTGTTACCAAACCACACCGCAGGCCATTAACTTAAGTCCACTGTAAGTCCCAAGGTCAGCAGAGTATGGCAGGCTGCTGAGCAAGGACAGGGCTACATGCAGGGTCCAAGTGTGCCATAGGCTAAAGACCATTCTCAAGGCTTCTTACATACAGTAAACAGACCACATCCCAAAGTCAGCTACTCAGCTCCTTGTGGTAGATCCCACCATGGAGTTGATTACCAGTCTCATCATAGGGAATAACTACCACCAGCTGCCCAGCCACTCAACCAGGCCCAGCCAAGTTGACACACAAACATAACTACCACAACCGTGAAGGGTTTTATAGTGCTTACTCACTGCCATCCAGTCAGATCCAACTTATAGCAATCCCTCCTTGGGTTTCTGAGGCAGCGTCACTACGGAAGTAGATTGCCCAATCTTCCTTCAGAGGAGTGGCTGGTGGGTTTGAACCGCCAGCCTTCTGGTTAGCAGTCAAATGCCTTAGACACTGCACCACTAGCGCTTACTAGGCGCATTATGTATATTAACTCTTTGATCCTCACTGTAACCCAGGAGATAAGTTCTCTATCACCGTTTTACAGTCGCATTAACTGAGGCAAAACAGGTCAAGTAACTTGCTAAGTAGTAGAACTAGAATCTTTGCCTGTGGTTGCTAAACTTTGTTACACATCAAAATCACGTGGCGATCTTCAAAACTACATATAACTGGTTTCATCATTTAACTGGTTTGGTGCACAACTTGGGAATCAGGCGTGCTAATAGCTACCAGGTGATTCCATCTGCAGCAAAGTTTGGAATCACTGGCCTGTGCTCTTAACCACCAGGTCTCAGGAGTGCTACTGTAACTATTCTTTTTGCCCAAGACTTTCTTCACTGAAGGTTAAGCCCAGGGCAAAGGTAGAAGAGAAAGCAAAAAGGGAAAAGGCAACAAGCTTTGACAAGGGTTTCCCCAGCTAGCCCAGCGTGAGCGCGAGACAGGACACGGAGGACTCGGCCCTGGCAGAAGGCGGCTGCGGAGCAAGCTAAACCTTCGACCTGAGGAGGGGGCAACGGGCTCAGCACCAGGGTGACGGGTGAGGCGGAAGGCAGAGGCGCGCGGAAGGACCCAAGCCGGCAAGGACTAGTGTCTATGGCAGCCTGAGGTGGAAGGGGGCTGCAGCGTCCCTGGGGGCGGAAGGGGGAGGCGCACTCCCCTCTCACACGACTCCCCTCCTCCCCTAGCTGATACTGCCTGGCTGGGGTCCCCGGGATCCCTGCGCGCTCCACTCCACACCGCATCCCGGCCGGCGGGCGTGACTCACACCGCGCCTGTTGGGACACAAGTTACTTTTGGTCCCCGGACGGGCGCTAGAAAGTTCTTCACTTTCCTCAGCGGGGCGGAGACGGGATTGGCGGGACTAAGCTAGGGTCCCCGAGGCAGGGAAGAGAGGGAGGCGACGTCCCCCGCGGCCCCCTCAGGTCCCTTTCGTCTCCCACCGTATACCCACCCGGAGGTGAAATCCTGCTGCACGCTCAGCAGACGCTCGCGCAGAGTCTCCAGCATCGCCGCCGCGTCTCCTTCTCTCAGGCCTCACCCAGCCGCTGCTGCCGACACCGCCCACTCCTCGCAAGGCTGCCCCTAGTACCTGTCACCTGCGGGCCCCGTGCACCCCTGCTGGCCCCGCCCCCGGACCGGGCCTCGCCCCCGCGCCGCAGCCCCTTCCGCGTTCCCGCCCTCGCTCGCGCGCTCTTCGCCCCGCCCCCTCCGCGCGGCTAGGGCCGCGCAGTCGCACTGGACACCACCCGGCTTGGGCTACGGAAAAGGGGCGGTTCCTTTGCTGGCTTCTGAGACACGTCGTTTTGGCTACTCTGTCAGGCCTGCTCGTTTTTTTCTAAGATCAAAGTGTTACTGTGAAAGAATTTTTAGGTCTAGCGCTCCACTGCATGAAGTGTTGATTTTTTACGGTTTGAAAAAGAGTACGATAAACCTCTTGCATAATAAGTACCTCTTTATAACAAAACAGTGAACTCTAGATCCTTGATCTGACCCTACTGGCTTTGACCTTGGATGAAATAATTAACTATTCTTAGTCTCGGTCCCTTCGTTAAATGAAGTATGACTGCATTCATTAAGGTAAATAAAACAGCAATAATAATAAACTGCCTTGAGTTATTCGCGTTCTCTTCAACCATCAGGGTTTTGTCTCCTCCACAACAAAGATGATAGATGGCCTTTGTCAAATGATAAGAGACCTCCATGTTATCAAGGGTATTCATTTCTCTGCCCTGATTTTTTCTCGACTTCTCAGTGGCTCTCAACGATCACCCCTTGCTTTAGACACATCTCTTACCTTTGAAGACACCATACTTTTCCCCTTCCCCCTCTTTTCCTTCTATTTCAACAGCTGTTTGCAAGGCTACATCCCAAACCTCCCGATCTTCTCCATCTGTGCTCTCCCCAGGTTTTTCTGTTCATCACCATGCTGTAACTTCAATCCAGACACTGCTGTCACCCAAATCTCTTATCTTCACCCCTGCTCTCTGTCCCCTCCATTAATTCATACCAGTTGCTTACTTAAATAGGCATCTCAAGTCCACCAGACCCAAAATTGAGAACTTGATTGTGTGCCGACCTGCTGCCTCATCCCCCAGTCTTTTCCATCTCAGTAAATTACATCACCATCCACAAAATTGCTCAAAGGAAGACACCTGAAATCACCTCTTTTTTCCTCATTCTCCATTCATCAAGTCCTATCAATTCTAACTCCAAAATATCTCTGGGATCCCTCCTTTCTCCATCTTCACTACTATCACCTAGTTCAAGACACCACAAAACTGTGCCAGAAACACGGGTACATCTCCCTGATTCTGCTCTTTCTCCATCCACACACCTATAATCCATCCTTGCCACAGCAGCTAGAGAGAATTATTTAAAAGATCAATCAGATCATTTTGCTGTCCTGCTTAAAATCCCTCAATCCCTTCCTTGCCCTGGTTGACAACACTCTAATATTTGAATGCTTCATGACACTCTATTCAATTCTAGTATTACTTAACTACCTTGTCCTTGACATTTAAGTCGTACTAGCTTTTATTTATCCAGGACTTGATGGAATACCCATTGAGATGTTTCAACAAGTGAATGCTGCCCTGGAGGCACTCACTTGGCTATGCCAGGAGATTTGGAAGACAGCTACTTGGCCAACTGATTGGAAGAGATCCATATTTGTACCCATTCCAAAGAAAGGTGATCCAACAGAATGTGGACATTATTGAACAATATCATTAATATCACACGCAAGTAAAATCTTACTGAAGATAATTCAAAAATGGTTGCAGCAGTATATTGACAGAGGGATTCAGAAGAGGACTTGGACTGAGGCATATCGTTGCTGATGACAGATGGATCTTGGCTCAAAGCAAAGAATACCAGAAAGATGTTTACTTGTGCTTTATTGACTATGCAAAAGCATTCGAATGCATGGATCATAACAAATTGTGTATAACGTTGACAAGAATGGGAATTCCAAACACTTAATTGTGCTCTTGAGGAACCTGTGTATAGACCAGAAGGCTGTTTGTCATTCAAACAGAACAAGGGGACACTGCATGGTTTAAAATCAAGAAGGGAGTGTGTCAAGGTTGTATCCTTTCACAATACTTATTCAGTCTGTATGCTGATCAAATAATCCGAGAAGCTGGACTTTATGAAGAAGAACACGGCATCAGGATTGGAGGAAGAATCATTAACAACCTGCGATATAATGCAACTTTGCTTGCTGAAAGTGAGGATGACTTGAAACACTGATGAAGATTAAAGACTACAGTCTGCAGTTATGAATTATACCTCAACATAAAGAAAACAAAAATCCTCACAACTAGACCAATAAGCAGCATCATGATAAATGGAGAAAAGATTGAGTTGTCAAAGACTTCATAATACTTGGTTCTACAATCAATGCCAATGGAAGCAGCAGTCAAGATATTAGACAGCATGTAGCACTGGGCAAATCAGCTGCAAAAGACCTCTTTCAAGTGCTGAGGAGCAAAGATTTCTCTTTTACGAACTAAAATGCACCTGACACAAGCCATATTTTCAATCGCCTCATATGCATGTGAGAGCTGGACAATAAATAAGGAAGACCAAAGAAGAGTTGATGCTTTTGAGCTGTGGTACTTGTGAAGAATGCTGAAAATACTATGGACTGCTAAAAGAACTAACAAATCTGTCCCAGACGAAGTGTAGCCAGAATGCTCCTTGGAAGTGAGAATGGCCAGACTTCACCTCCCCTACTTTGGTCATGTTGTGAGAAAAGACCATTCCCTGGAGAAGGATATCATGGTTGGTAAAGTGGAAGGTCAATGAAAGAGGGGAAGGCCCTCAACAAGATAGATTGATACAGTGGGTACAATGACGGGCTCAGGTATAGCAGGGATCATGGAGCTGGCATAAGACCAGGCAGTGTTTCATTCTGCTGTACATAGGGTCACTATGAGTTGGAGACAACTCGATGGCACCTAACAACTACAACAGCCTTTATATGTGTGTGTTCCTTGAAAATCTCAGACTCATTTTCACCTTGAGGCCTTTTCATAAACTTTTCCCCAAACTGTCCTGTGGCTGTCTCATCCTTGACATTTGGGTCTTAGCTTAAATATCATCCCATTAAATTCATCTTCTTTGACCATTCAAGTTACGCACCCAACCACTTCCCATCACATCACCCTGTCCCTCAACTTAGTGCATATCACTCTCTGATAATTAATAATAGTTTCATTAATAAAACATTGTTTTCTTATCTGTTTAGAAATTTACTTTTAAACCAGGACTGGGACTAGGGTGAGGCAAATGAGGCACTCACTTTGAGTGTAAAATTTAAGAGGGCACCATGCATGAGAGGGAAGGATACAGGGAAGACAAAAAGGTAACTACAAGGAGGAAATGGGAAGAGAGCTATTACATTGGGGGGAATTGTAATCAATGTCAAACAAAATGTGTGTGAACTGCAGTGTGTTAACGAATTTACTCTGTAAAATTTTACCCAAATCACGATTAAAATTTTACCCAAATCACGATAAAAAATTTTAAAAAAAATTTAAGAGGGCACCAAGAAACTCAATAGTCAAGATAAATATTTCAATGCAATATTTAAAATAATTAATGAAAAAATCCATGATGAACAAAATATTGAGTTTCTGAGACAGTGTCACTATGGAAGTGGATTGCCCAACCTTCCTTCCAAGGAGTGGTTGCTAGGTTTGAACCCCCAGCCTTGTGGTTAGCAGTCAAATGCCTTAAGCACTACGCTACCAGAGCTCACAAATAAAGATGGAATCAGGGCTGGGATTCGGGGTGGCAAGTGAGGTGGGTTGTATAAATAAATGAAGGCCCTGCTGTAAACTGCCAGAGAGTGAAGACCCTGAATGTCTTATTTAGCTCTGTATACCCAGCACCTGAAACGGTGACTGCCACATAGTAGACAAATATTGATGGACTATTTTGTTGTAGGAATGAAATGAAATAAAATACTTGGCTTATGATTGGGAGAATAATTCTTCATTCCTGAAATTTTCTTCCACATAGAGGAAGCTCTGCTGGTGTAACACTCCAGGCCTCTCCTGATGGAAGCAAGGTGACCACACACTGAGAGGGAGCTATGGCAAAAGGAGTCTGGCCCCACTCTCTTTTCATTTTCTTGGGTTCAAGCTGCCAACAAAGGGTACTGATTGAGCTGTACAAGGACATGCTGCCAGGTGAGGATGCTGGGCTGATCCAGTGCTTTCTGTGACAAGGTGGGCAACTCTTAATCTGAAGTTCAATATTAAGAGTTCTGCTTGCCCATGAATATAAGCCATGCATTTCATCAACCTGATCAAGAATAGGAATAAAAGTAATGTTTGGGCCTCTGCACATGGACCCTAAGGAAACGTGGTGGCACAATGTTTAATTATTTGGCTGGTAACCAAAGGGTCAGTGGTTCGAACCCACCTAGTATCTATAGGAGAAAGACCCAGCAATCTGCTTCCATAAAGAGTATAGCCTAGGAAACTCTATGGGGTAGTTACACTCTGTCACATTGGGTCCACCAGATAGTACCTAACAAAAACAACATGCTGACTCTGGTGGTGCAAATGGTTAAGCACTTGACGACTCTGGTGGCATAGTGCCTAAGGCATTTGACTGCTAAGCAGAAGGCTGGCAGTTCAATGGATCAAATGATCAAATCTGTAGAGATGGATAATCTTAGAATTTGGTAGATTTGGAAGTCATAAACAAACAAACAAACAAAAAAAAACTCACTGCCATCAAGTACTTGGAAGCCATAGGTACTAGGAAACATAAGATCTTTCTCTCTCTCTCTTTTTTTTTTTTTAATGATTCAATTAAACTCCTTAGCTTTCAATTAATTGTTTAATAAATTCCAACAAACTGGCCAAGCAGAACAAAAAACAAAAACCTCTATCTGCCACTAAAGAACGGCTTTATTGGATATGCCAAATATCATCTTTGTCTTGACTATTTCATGATTAGTCGATGGAATGTTTGCCTTTTGTTTTGAGGTG